TAGGTGTTATACTGACTTTACTAGAATGTGCGGGTCATTGTGTTATTTCTGATGTAACTCAGACCAGCAGGTTCAAACGGCCTTTCTCTGCTGTTGCACCCAGGAGATGAGGTGTACATGCTGATAGTGAAGGCAATGAGGGTATCAGACACTAATCCAGAGCTAAACCTGTAACTCTTTCCAGAAAGGGCCGTGTGGCTGCAGGTTTCCATTACATCCAAGCAGTTCACATCTCCACTCATTTCATCAAGTGAGTCCAGTCTTCCCCCGAAGACTTGATGAAATGACGGGAGTCTGGTGTGGAATGAGTTTGACACCCCTGGTTTAGATCATACGGCTCAATCTGCGCTCCCACGCTCACCTCCGGTCACGAGCTTTGGGTAATAACTTAAAGGACACGATCGGAATGGAAGTTTCCCTTTTGTTTCAGGTCCTCCTGGACTTCTCTTGGGGTGTTTCGTGCACTTTGCACCTTCTGAGTTTGACACCGCCAGTCTCTCAGCTGGCCTGGGAACACCTCAGAATCACTTGGATGAATTTGAGGAAGTGTGTGTGGAGAGAGCAGTCTGGACATCTCTGCTCAGATAGTTGCCTCTGCGGCCCGGAGGCAGAAGAAAATAAATGGATGGAGGGAGGTGTTTATAGGGTTGGGCACGTTACTTTGAAAAAGTAATTAGTTATAGTTACTAGTTACTTCTCCCAAAAAGTAACTGAGTTACTAACGGAGTTACTCCACTATAAAAGTAACTAGTTACCAGTAAAAGTAACTATTGCGTTACTTTTTGTTCTGGAACATAATGTGCACTCGACGTGCACATTTTTACCTTTAACCTCAGTGAGTTTGAAATAGTGCCGACGTTTCCATCTAGAAAAGGCTGTTTAGCTGCTGAAGTCCTGTTCACTCTTCATCTCTCTCTGTGCTGTAAGCACTGAACACCAACACGCTCCACTGTGAATGTGGAAACACCGGTGAAGCACTGACTTCAGCCCAATCAGATGAACATATATATCATATAAATCAAGTGGACAATTTGTTTGGCTACAGCAAAATATGTTTCATGCCCGCATTGTTTGTTCATACAAAACGCAAAACTATGAGTTATGGGTCTTACCTTATAAATGACCTGCACAGACCACTTCAGTTCAGACCAGTTCCTTGTTTAAGTCCAGTTAATGGTTTGAGCGTAGATATGTAATCCTCCATTTGGAAATGAGTCCAATGAGTTTTAAAAAGTAAAACAAAACGCGTGTGTCCTCCATAAACTCCTGTGTTTTGCTAGCGGCAGCCGGGTGCATCCAATTTCTAAAATCAACCGTCTTTCACTTCACCTCTCTTTTTTATCATTCCTATAGTAATTGAAAAATTACCCTATGTGCATTTTGGATTATCTAAAAATGTGTTATATGTATGTTAGCCAAACCTTTTGCAGCCCTTAGCAGATAAACCAGGAAGAGAAAGGAGCTTATCGATGGAATTGTATGCAGCCGACTTCTGCGCTCACATGAGCTCCTCTGTGGCTGGCCTCACGGTGATACAAGCTGTGGTTGAGCGCGATTAAGACCAATATTTGTTTCAAAAACACAATTTATGAGCCATCCTCTCAACTGTAGACATGTAGATTGGTAAGGAAATATGTTTTACATCAGCCAATAATTGCTGAGAGTTTTTCTCATCCTCCCTTCTCTCATGACAACACGTTCATTGTGCGTCTTGAGTAACGCGCAGTAACGGGATGTCGGAAATGATAACGGCGTTATAGTTACTGTCAAAGTAATTAGTTAGATTACTCGTTACTGAAAAAAGTAACGCCGTTAGTAACGCCGTTACTAGTAACGCCGTTACTAGTAACGCCGTTACTAGTAACGCCGTTATTCCCATCACTGGTGTTTATAGGGTTGGCACCTGATGTTAAGCTCCTTATTGAACAAGTGTGGAACATGAAAACATACAACACTTGTTGACAAGTGTAAATGGATTTAGGTTTCTAGAGGTGCCTGACGTTCACTAATGCATGTTTACATTGCCTGTGCTTTCAGGTGCTTCTGTGCAACATGCTGACATCGGTCAGTCTCGCCCTTTCCACTGCCCCACTGCAGTTTAAATGCCCTCCAAGAGCTAAACATGCTCCCATGATGGGTTCACTACATACAAACTTCCGATAATACAAGTGACAACAGCAAATTAGCCATGGTAATGCCATTGAATATGATTACACGGCTTCAAACACTCTACTACCTTTTCCTTGTATTTGAAAAACATAAAGTACCAACATATTTTTCCTAAACCTTTTAGGAGTGCTAAAACAGACAGTTTTAAGATAGCGATGACATTTCTTTGATGCTTCTGAGGAAGACAGGACTTTCTGCAGAAACATGTCAAGGTAATACAAAATTGTTATCATAATGAGATTAATTCTCTTGTAGATTAGTATGTCAAATAATGTCCCATTCAAATAAATAAAATAAATAAATGCAATATATGGGGATGGTTCAGTCGGGACAGCCCAAACAAAGTAAGTTATATGCACTATATGGGAGCACTTTGGCAATTCTCTGGTTTGTCAATGATTGTTTTAATAAACAATAATAATAAATAAGTTATTTCAATTATAACTAAAAGAACTGTAATTCATCAAGCAGCCCTAATTGTCTAATATAGAAGACCCTTCACTCTCTTTGCTCTGTTCCTGTTTCCTGTTTATTATCATAAACAAAGATTTCTTTTTTTTAACTATGAGTCCCTGCTTGTATAAGATATGAAACGGTGGAGCCCAAACACGTTTGCTGATTTCTACTCCCTTGAAGCTTCATTCATTTGGTCTCATCGGTTTGAGCTGCTTAGCCCTCAGCACCACCCTCTTTCCAGCAGAAACTATTTTATGACTTGTTAAAGGACAAAAGGGTCACTACATATGACTAATGCCAAAAAAAGTTGTCCAACGGGGGCCCATTAGCGTTTGGTAATGTAATTTTATTAGACTTTAGAAAATGACTGGTGCAGTTCTGTCTGAGTGCTTAGAGGTCAGTGGAGCTGCGGGAAAAGTGGCAATTCGTGACAATTTTTTAAATACACAAAGAGTACCCTAGTTTATGTTATGTACTACACCATTCATAATACAACAAGTGGATGTAATCGTGCTGAGGGCAGAACAGCCATTTTTACCCCAAACTAAGACGCCACAGTTCATTTCATTTTTGTGTCTGAGACTTCTTACAATGATATGAAATTCACTAGACCATAATTATAAAACCCAGATTATAAAAACAGCATCATAAAGTATATTCATCAGTCTAGACAGAGTGTGATTACCGCAGCCCGGTCACGTCTTTCTCCGTCTACACAAATAAAAGACAGCCCTTTGTAAATAAACAGCACAAGATGAAAGCATATGTCGGTAATAAAACATTTGAAAACATCTTTAAATCTTACATTCATTTTCACTCTTTTGTGTCCACGCTCGACAAGCTCGCACAGAACTGCTCTACACATGTTGTGGCGCCCCCCCGCAGCGTTCTATTGCCCCATTACAAGTCTTCATTTAGCACAGCGGGAGAGAATCGTCCCATGAATAAACTCACACAGGGCCACGATGCACTCGAGAATGACAGATAAAGCTTGAGCTCATCTGCGGGCCCTGGTGTGTGTCAATGGGACTCATGTTGTCAAAACAGGAGAAAAGAATATGAGTCGAAACGGAGGAAACTTCTTCTAAGTCGACTCTTTGAAATCCAGCTGACGAATGCATGTTAAACGTTGTGACCCTACATCGTTTTCATTTGTCACAACCATCAATAGCAAACAAAAGAGCAACATGCGAGTGGTGACAGTCACTTCAATGCATACTAAGCATCTAAAGAGACCCGAGTGCGTTTGGTGTCAGCGGTTACGGTTGTCACCCACTCAGCAACAGCTTTCAGCCTGTCCTTTAAAGGCTCTTGTGTCTATGGTTACACGGAAATTAGTGCAGGATATGTGCATGTTTTGTATTGAGTTCAAATGCTACGTTTATCCATCTCACATTTTAGCTGAAAGCAATAACGTTATTATACAGTGCGTATTTATAGGTGTTGCCAAACTGAATAAAAATTAAAAATGTTAACCTCCCATTCCACATACGTGAGAGGAAGCAGCATTATTTGTATTGAATGTTGTGTTATAAAATATGAGGATATGAATGTTTTAATCTTTTGGTCATATTTCAAAGATCCAAATACCAATAGGTTTGCAAACATATCACACATTCGCAGCATTAGACAAATATATAGCACCAGGACCCCAGGCCGTTGACTGAAATATGTTGCTCGTATTCCTTTGTAGAACTGATAATAAAACATGACGTTTTATGACAGCAGTGCATAAGAAAAAAGGAAATAAAATATAGATAAATAATATTCAGAAGCCAGCATCCCTGGCTCTGAAATAATAATGCAGAACAATGTAACTGAAAGCCAAATATTGTATACTACAGTTAATTAGGTCGGCCCAATATAAAGACAATGTAATGTTATCATGATCATTAAATCTGAATTCTTGTGTTTATTAAGGACCTCCAGGCTGTATAGAGTAACAAGGACACTGAAGTGAAATGGGTAATAATCTTAGCACTGGGCAAATGGAAGGCTAGTTTCTTTCACTGTGATTCACATATGTCCACTTGAGTGAATAAAAAGTAAAAACATTAATGCTATCAATGAAATAAAAGGTGCCCAATATAGAGCCACATAAAATACAGTATATGGCTCTATACTGCCACAGTCAAAAATGTTATAATATTGTTATTGCAAACGAGTGCAATAATGTCATTTTGGCTAGAGCCCACAGACTCTCTGTAGAGCGACAGGAAAGAAAACAAAACATGGCGGGACAAGAGATGAGGAAACACTGCACATGCACGTTATCGATTTCTTTGGGGAAGGAAAATATCTCAATAGATATTGCCAACGCACTCTTTGACATTCTAAGATTCTAAGCACCAATAAAATCGACACATGAGACTCACCGATATATTGGTTCCACTCTGGATCGAGATCTGCCTGGTTGGCCAGACAGCCCTTCATGACATTGAGGCAGTAGTTCCCACAGGGCTTCACAGAGGGCATGCCCTGGCAGTACGGACAGTACATGAGTCGGGTCAGAGCTCGGATACAGGACGCAGTGCTGCTCACCTGAAAGACAATAGCAGCAGGCGTTAGCCTCGCCAGACTGGAGTAAACATAGGATTATACGGCAACATTTGTGTTTTTTAGCAACATGTATCCTCAGGCTGTACACCCCATATGGACAAAACCACACCCAGCAACAAAAGCTCTGAACTGGCCTTACATCGTCGCTGAGTATCTGTCACCGTGTTGCAATGTCGCACGGATGTCAAGATTGGCTGAATGTTTAAACTGGAGCTCCGTTCATTGATGAGTGCCTTCAAAAGTCCACAGCGACTAAACTAGACTGGTCCCAATAATACACTCCCTTTAGCATTGACACACATGTGGAACGTAGCGTTAGGCCAAGAGCCGACTTTTGGACCGTCCTGTAAAGCCGTTTTCAAGAGGTAAGAAGACGCCATACAAAAGCATTGAATAATTCTCTTTCTAGGTTCACCCCCACTGGCTAGGAGTGGTATTGCAAGCTGATGTCAGCGCACATGCTCCTGGATCTTTGCTTTCATGAACCCGCCCTCACTGGTTAAGCCACGTGAGGCACTTTACATCAAACTATGAAGAAGTTGAAACAGTTGATGCTCTAAACAAAAAGTTCCTCTCTGTGACAGCTTGGATTAATGTTTATTATGGACACACTAGTCCACACCAGTTATTACCCAAACGGAGGCCTGGGCACTTCAGGGGGCCCTCCAAAGGCTATGCACAAGAAAGCATTGCAAAATAAATTATATCTAAGTAATAGATTAACACTGCTTTTAATGATGACTTTTTATGAGGTAAATAAATAATTTCACCATGTTTATTTTTTATCCATTCATTTTTCATTCATTCAATCATTGTAATCCCATTTATTAGTCCATTTCTGGGTCTGTGGCAATCCAAGCTTCTACCCAAACAAAGATGATATATAAAACACATTTGATTTGGTTTCGGAATAGTGTTTGAATCGTTACTGGGGTCACTCTGGATCATTAGAGGGTCCCAGTGCTTCAGACTGCAGGTCAATACAATATAGTGCTGCTTTGTTCCATGATCACCTTTCAGCTGTGTTTCTCAACTCCAGCGCACTCCATAACTCTATTTACTTTCAGCTCGATAATCAAATACTTGATTGTGTGGCTCAGTGTCAAGAAAGCACGGTCACAAAAATCTTAGATTGGCACTAAGGCTACTTCAATGAAGAGCTCTCAATAACTACCTCCACATATTTTTCAAGTGGCCATAATAGAATGTCGCAATTCTCCACATAAATAACAAAAGCTAAAACCCTTGACGTCAATGGTGTAGGTTTGGTTCCAATCTTGGTGGGGACATTCACTACAACCTGAGTCTACACCCATTGACACGGGGTCCAGAGTTTCTCCCCCAGAATTTGTTGTGTAATCACACACTATATTTGCAATAGTGTGTCGCCTTCTATACTAAACTCAGCTGTAGACTGAATGAGAAGCAGTTAAGGATTTTTTCTAATCGTTAAAACAAAATCAATTGGATCAGAACTTCTGAGTTTTGTGTTGCGTTCATTCTAACTTTGTCCACAAGATGGCTTAAATGTTTATAGTAAATAAGATAGTAAATATATCCTGTATTCAGGATCAGGCTGATATGGGTTTACAACCTATCTCAAATATGCTGTCCCTGGCACTTTCTTGAGAGTGACTCTCATTGGCTGCCTCCTAAATAGCAAATACACTGTTATGAAACTTTAAAAAATCCCATATTTTATCTTCATAATTCCAGCCTCACCTGAAGCCCAGCTTCGATATCTGCCTGCACTACATCTTCCCTGAATACCTGAGTTCCCTATAATAAATAAAACACATGTAGTGCATTAAACAAATCAGATCTAAGCATATACAAAATAAAACCACCAACAAAACCAAATAAATACTTTCAACCTCACCTGAAGCCCTGAAGGTCCAGCCACTTCCTCATCCTCTACCAGCACTGCACATTCCCTGTTTGTCTGACTTTCCTTTATGGTATTAATAAAAACACACATTCTACATTGAATAAAATGAAACCTAGGCATGGTACACCAGTCGCTAAATATCTCATGAAACTAGGATTGGTTGATGGGTCTAAGATTTTAACTGCTTAACCCTAACCTCACCTGGAGTCCTGTCTTGTCCTTGTCTTTATCTCCTTCTTGAATTTCCATTATATCTCTCAGAGTGTCCTATATTTAGTAAAAGATTTCAGACAACACTTTTTGCATCATTATAGTAGTAAAATATGTTGTAATTGGCATAGGTAATTTCCAACCAAATGATGTTCTTTAACTTTAGTATGATTCTATACTGACTTAAACCTAATCCAAATCTACATAATAGCCCTCACCTGAGGCTCTAACAGTTCAGGAACTGCTCTCGATACTTGAAATAAATCATGCTCTGATCTTTCAATTTCCTTTAATAAATAAAAACAGAGGAGAAAATATTGAATTAGAATCTACAGTGAGTAGCTCACTACATTGTTTGACATATACGATCAATCTCTAAAAACAATTCATAGTCCCATGCATACCTACAAAATTCCAACCTCGCCTGATGCACTGAAGGGCCTGTTGCTTCTACCTCAACATTCCCTATATTGTTCTCTCTTGTTGGTTGAGTTTCCTATGTATGTTAACAGAAGATTAATCATCACAATTCATAATTTGCTATTACTTGTGCTTTCTCTTACTTACTTTCCAACTGTTAAAAAATCTGATATCTTTTATCTTTTTTTGTGGAGGTGGCATTTTTTCTAAATTATATAAGAAGGTATAGACAATCAAAAACAGACATTCATATACATGAACTGCAGAATCATTTATATAACTTGGCCAATGTCAAAAGTTACATAGTATTTCTCAATACAATGAGTTAACAAGAGTTTGGCAATAAGTAACAGTGTGGATTTTTCTATATTTTCTTTTTTTTATTCCACTCTCTACCCAAAAAGGCAAGTAATGACTCACAGGGTTCTCAAGTATTCAAAATAAAAACTTAAATGACCTGTTGTGGTGTGTTTTGCGCACAACCAGCATGCATCGTTAACGCAATGGAAAATTTAGGTATCCGAGCTTTAATTTCGGGAGCGCTGGTTGCGCTTTGGGAAGAGTCAGGGGAGAGACATGTCAGAGACACAGGGGAGAAACGGGGGAGATACGAGGGAGACCCGCACTTGCAACATGGTTCTGTCTGCATATGGTCCGAGCTCGGTACCATGTTAGAGCTGTGCTTTCACTGAGCGCCGCGGCTGTCATTACAAAGCGGCAGCAGCTGCACCAGGACGTGCACATTCGAGTGCATCGCTTGAATGTGCTGAGAGAAAATAACAGCAAGTGCCCGCTGTCACACATTTCACAGAAATTACATTATCAGCAGATAAAGGTTGTAAATCGTGGATCCGTGGAATATTTTCATCACTAGTTTATCCTGATTCACACAACACACCCACTTATACATTTTGGATAGTAAGAGCACAATAAGTATTTTTTCAGCCTTTCAACCAACCTGTTTCTTTATTGGAGCCAGTTCTGTTCTGTCTCTGTGCCGTGTGAGCTCCTCGGAACATTAAACAGTGCGCTGACAGATTAGAAATAACGTAAGTACTTTGAATGGTAATAGATCTACAGTACTTTCCTCTGATTACTCACGTGCTACAACGCTCAGGGAACGAAAAAAAACACTTGCTTCACGCTGGCTAACTTTTAAAAATTAAACAGTCGCTCAGTGCTTCAGTTTGGCGCTGAAGAAGACAGCCAATCACTGCAGAGAACGGAACGGGTCACGTGCTGCTGCTGCTGCTGTTGCTCTGGAGGCGAGGAGGAGGCACGACGTGTGCACAAACGGAAGACATGTGTCCCGGACCGTCCGGGTCACGGGACATCATGTCATTTTGGTGGGGACTTTTTAGTCCTCACCAAATATTGGTGGGGACATGTCCCCATGGTCCCCACGCAAACCTACGCCCTTGCTTGACGTGCACAAACAGTGAATGAGTGGTTTCTTTGCTTGGAATAACATTAACTACTGCAACAGAAATGTTTTGATGGTGGTAAACAAAACTGCAATGTGAGGGAAAACTTTACTTCTGCAAAGTTTTTATGGCAATATTCAAAGCAACCAAGAAAAAAACTTTTAATCTCAGACTTTTCTTTTTTCCCTTAACTATGGCTTTGCTAAAACACAGCCATGGACAATTAAAGTGGTGAGACGGATGTTTTGCCCAAGGATACGCCAGCGTCCTACATTAATGGGAACTGGAATCACACCTGACACCTAAGTTTTAAACTTTTTGGAATTCGGTTGTAATTCAGATTTTAAAAGAACTGAGATGCGCAGCTTGTGTAAATGAAAAGAAAGAAATGAAGAAATGCAGTTTTTTCATTTATTATGGATAGCCTAACCTAGATTATCTTAATGATAATCTACCTGTAAACCTGTGATAGACCATACTACATATTAAGCGCTAACCTGAACAGATTATTTGAGCAGGAATGTGGAGCCAAATATTTGCAGATTTTGTTGGTAGCAATGGCCATGTTACCAAGAGCCAGACAGGAGCAGGGCCAGTCTGTCCTCGCTCCTGCTACTTGCGAGCTGGTGAAAGAAGTCTCCTGATTGATCAGTTGTTAGGGCTCGAATATGGATTTACAAAGACAAAAACACCAGGATTGCAGGGACGCTAAATCATGGAGCCCAAACAGGGCTGAGCTAAAGGAGTTTACTTTTCAATGGGAGTCAATAGTAGCCAAGGAGAGTCGAGGCAAAACTTCATCCACAAGCACTTCACTATTGTTACATGCACTCACCTATATCAGGGGTCACCAACCTGCGGTAAGTGGCTCAACATCTCCTTTCAGGTAGCTCCCCAAAGGATTCAAGAATTTAACACATGGTCCTGAATTATTTACTTTTGAATCATTACACATCTAGTTTAACCATAAAGCCCTTCATTAATGCAGGGATCCTGTACTTAGGCTGGGCGATATGGCAAAAAAGTAAAATCTCGATTTT